TATATATATATATATATATATATATATATATATATATATATATATATATATATAAACAGTTCCTTTTTTATCTGTAAGTTATTTTGATGGAATGGCCGATGTCCGTTATTTAACTTTATCGCTAATATTGGCGGATACCGATACCATGCCGATAATATTGTGTATCCCTAATTAAAACAAAACAAGACTTCTTTCTGGTTTTAGTGGAGCATGAGCCTTTTGCTCCCTGAGTTTTGGCGATTTAACAGTTTCTTTTTTTAAGTTGACATTTATAACAAAGGTAACATAAATTAGCATTTTAGAATAAATGTTTTTTAGGAACTAACTTTGGAAGTTATTTGCCTCCACATTTTTTTTAATTTATTGTTTTCTTTGTGTTCCTTTTGTCGCACAGTAACAGCAACAGATGTAAAGAAATTTTCTGTAACTGAGTTTTCAGTTTTTACTAAAATCTATTTGGTTGGCGCTTGTTGCGTAAAACTAAATGGGCCAAAAGAACGAAATGTTGTCTACCGTGTTTTTCTGACTTTTTAAAATCCTTTACTTATCTCAAAAATTGACAGTGAGCATTATTCGGTGTGCCTTTATGTATTAATTCTGGTTATGCTTACTGACCTTGAACTGATTTTATGTGCTACAACTAAACAATGTTGAGTTATTGTGAAAGAGTTGAATAAAGTTTGAATTGTCTGTTTTGTTTCGCTATATGCCTTATAGTCCGGTGTGCCTTATAGTTAAAAAATATGGTACATAAACTGCTAAACTTTCTGTTATAAATGCATAAAAAACGTTAAAACTTAATTTTGCCTTGCTTCTATCTGATACTGTAAAAATGAGGCTTTAGGGTTGTATTGAAAAATAGATTTTACAAATTTCAATTCACATTTTTACTTTTCTTTCTTTTGAAACTAAAACGATAAGTACTTATAGGGAACATGCTGAACTCATTAATTTCGTGAGCTAATCCAAATTATTTAAAATGTTGAACACAATTATCTTGGCTCAAAAGGTTTTTTGTATTTGAAAAGTGGAAGCTAATGTTTTTTTCTGCATCCTGAAGCGTGGTTATGCTTCAAGGGAAGTGGCTAAAGTCTTAGGATTGCTTTCATGAGCTCCATCAGTTTATAGCTGCATCTAATCTCAACTAGCTTTTCAGGTTTATGTATTGTTTTTAGGCCTAGATGGGATTTAGTGTAGATTTGTTTCTATAACAGGCGTGCGTATTTCTCCTCTTAATTGGGTGTTTTGTTTGAAATGTTCTTTTCCAGGTGAGTAGGATACTGTACAGCTTCGCCACAGCGTTTCGGCGGTCAGCTAAGAAGGCGGTTCTGTTATCTCAGCAGAACGCTCCGCTGACCCCTGACAGCGACTTGTTTACCTTCACTGTCAGCCTGGAGATCAGGGAGGACGACGGCAAGGGTACTTTCAGGTACATTCATGCCCGAGCATTTTGTTTTGTAGTTGTCCAATGAAGTAAGTTCCTGCGTTTACTTTCTTCAACACATCATTTTGTTTTCCCACAATACTGAGCCACTTCCACGTGTTCACCGAAGCAAAACAATACAATTCTTATTTTTATTTTTAGCCTGCACACATTTCCTCCTCGTTAGCGTTTTGATTTATTTTTGGCTTTACTTCCAAACTAAAGAGCCTGATTTTGTATACTATCCAGCTTTTGTTTGCATTTTACTGTGATTCTTTGAAGCTGTGTAAAAATACTTAGCTTTATGATAAGAAAAAGTCACTAAGTAATCTGATTTTCTTGTCTGTGAATATGTTTATGAAGTAAAAATGAAACTCAGTTTGAAAATCTGTGGTTCACTAAGATAAATGTTGTAAATAAGTCCCAGTTTTAAAATGATTTTTTTATTATCGGCCTACAAACAGGAAATTGCAGCAGTTTAATGTATTTGAAATCGATTGTTTTCTTTTACCTGAGCTTATTCAGATAAAAGATTTTATCTTTTTGAATTTCATCTTAAATTTATGTCGTTGGAGGCTTGGAGGATGTTGATTACTGCTTCTGCCAAAAACCTGGTTCTTTTCCTGCACCAGAAAACTGAAAAAAAAAAAAAAAAACGAGCAGGAAAATGACCAGATCCTTAAAAAAAGTGACTCTTGTGTAGTTTTTATTTTGAGTAATGGGCCTATTGTAAACTTTAACTGATCGTAAGAATGGCCCAATATCCAGTAAGTCATAAATTCTGTAAAGAAGGAAGTTATCTATATATCTTTTCAAATATAATGTAATTTAAATAAAACAATATCTTCTCAGCTTCTTATGTTCTAGTCTAATTTCAATTATTGGTGAATCTTCCTTGAGTTTTAGATTTTTACAAATGTAAATAACATTTTCTAAATATGTTTCTTGACATGTAGCGCTGTCGCAAAAGACAAAGACAAACAGAGCTTCAAGCTTCGTGCAGGACTGGACAAGAAAATTGTCATTTACGTTCAGCAGACGTCCAATAAGGAACTGGCAATCGAGAGGTAAAATAAAGCGCACACGCATTCATTCCAACTGTACGTGTTTATTGAAATGTAAACGCATTGTACACTCAGTCACTCTGGATATAACATTTGAGGCACTCAGATGCTTGTATAATTGTCTGAAATAGAAAACTAAATAAGAAAATTCAGAATGATGGTAGCTTTCAGGAGCTCTTAATCAGCGGGGACACAAGTAGGATGCTGCAGAACGGGCCATGATTTTGAGCATTTTGATGTCCTTGTTAACTAACTTTTAGATGATCATATGGAGGCAGCAGTACAAGATTTACTCAGACCCATAAAACATCAGAAGTAAATGTCATAAAAGTGACAGAGTTGCATGAGTTAAAGCTTCTCTTACTGTAAATGTGCTCTGCTGTAACAACATATTTAGGAATAACTCTGCTCATCTGTCAAACTGGCGGATATCCTCCTATTTGCTAGTTATTGCAATCTGTCATTTTAAACTTCATCCAAATATTCTCCAGAGATAAATCACTGTTTAATTGAGTGCAACACTGTTGAACGTCTTTAGGTCCGTGTGCCAGGTTTTAAGCGTTCCGGGGCAGTTTTAGGGTTGTGATTAAAGTGGAACTGTCTCCGATGTTAACTTTTCATGCTTAAACAATCAGTTGGATTTCAACATTCTCAGCAGACTCCAGTTTTCTCCTTGGATTGTTATGGTTTCATGATCTCAGGGAAGGTGAGGACTGAAAGAATGTGTTTAGTCTTTTTCAAGCTCTGGATTGTGTTAGACCATCAGTTCAGGGAAATATTTCCTGTAATTTATGTAATGTTTCAAAACTTCTTGTACTCTATAGTGAAAGGGTTATTGTTCTCTGCTTGGTTTCCCTGCTCCTCTTTTTTTTCTCCTTCGTTTTTCTTATGTAAATGTAATCCTGTCACATTTGTTCTTTTGCAACCACGTGCGTTTCTTCTCCAGGTGCTTTGGACTCCTGCTCAGTCCAGGGAGAAATGTGAAGAACAGTGACATGCACCTGTTAGACCTGGTGGGTGATAATTGTATGCATGCATTATAAATACAGTTGTATGTTTTTGTGCGTTTGCCAACCTTCTCCTCCTTGTGCCCCATCAGGAATCAATGGGAAAGAGCTCAGACGGGAAGTCTTACATCATCACAGGAAGTTGGAACCCCAACACGCCTCAGTTCCAGGCTGTGAACGAGGAAACGCCCAAAGGTAAGAGCCAAAAAATATCCAACGTTTAGATAAGAGATTTGTTCTCAATATGTTAAATCCAGGGTTGTTTGGTTATTTATTCACTTTTATTTTCACACCACATATGAGTTTAAAACTTCAGATTGTTGAGCTTTAAATTTGTTGTGAAATTATGGCCACAGTTATATCAAGGAAAGCCACCTGGAAACATCAGAAATCTAATGGTAGAACGTTAGATTTTTTTTAGGATACAAGTCACTAAATGAGGTTGATACTTGATTAGTTGTCTTGTTTTTTATATATGTATATATTTTTAGATAAATTCATGTACATGACGACAGCAGTGGACCTGGTGATTACAGAGGTGGAGGAGCCGGTTCGTTTTCTGCTGGAGACGAGGGTCCGAGTGTGTTCCCCTAACGACAGGCTGTTCTGGCCCTTTAGCAAGCGGAGTTACACAGAGACCTTCTACCTTAAACTTCGACAGGTTGGTTTCTGTTGTCAAATATCACCTGCGACAAGCAATGATTGACTCATGATGATGAGTAATCCAACTGTATATATACAGTAGTCCCTCGCTACTTCGCGTTTCAACTTTCGCAGACTCGCTCTTTATCGTTTTTTCAAAGCAAGATTGGACACGACCCACAATTGGCTGATTGTTGAATGAGCTGCTTGATCGGCATGGATTTTTTAATTTAAAATAAATATTTTAAATGATTTAGCACCTGCTGCATCTGCGTGCAGCCCACAGCTGCAGGAGAACCTTCCTCCTGCAGCGTGTCATATCTCCGCTCTGCAGCGGAGAAGTGGGCGTGGTCGAAACCGCTGGCAGAGAGCTGAAATCATGACACGCTGTGCTCTTTTTAGCATGTTTAGAGTTTAGAAACATTGTTTAGAGTATTGCAAGATTGTGGGAAAGGTTTAAAACGCCTTTACTACTACTTACTATTGATACTACTATACTGTACTGCCTTTTTATATATATATTTTTAAGAATTACTTGAGCTTCATTTCCTGACTTTAGAGATGTGTCTATGCTTACAAAGATTTTATCCTTCATGTTTAATGACCATTCAGATAAAAAGCTTTTTTTTTCTTCACAAAATTTACTGATGGTTTTCTGTGTAACGCAAAGAAAAATACGTTTGTGTAAAAATAAAGAGGTAAAATAAAATGTCGACACTTTAAAACTTTTTTTCCTAAAGTCCATTTAGTTTAGACTCTGTTAGCTGTTTGTATTGTTAGCCAGAAAACACTTAAGTTATTCTTACTGATTTTATATCAGTTATATCAGATTTTATATTTTGCCAAATACTATTTCTGGGTTTTGGTCTTTGTGCGACACAAACTTGGCAGAAATTTCGCCAAAAAAATAAGAATAAATATTTGCCTAGATTTTCTGTACCAACGCTAAAGAACAGCAAGGCAGGTGTTTTGCTTTTATGTGTCATCTGAACTTAAAAATCCATTTTCCCGCAATAAATAGAAAGATAATTAAGTTAATTTGACATAATAGAGCTCTGAGCAGTTTATTTCTTCAGTGCACTTTTGAGACATTGACATGCAGTGTGTGACTTTTCTGCTCAACATAATTAGCTTAAGCAGTAATCTTAACTATTTGGCACATCCCAAAAATGTAATCTGAACACAGAAATGCTGTACCACATCACATTTTAAATAGTTTATATCAGATATCTTCTTTTCTCAGATGGAGCGAAAAGAACGGAAGAGTCCGGCCTCTGACACGCTTTATGAAGTGGTGAGTTTGGAAAGTGAGTCAGAGAGAGAGAAAAGGAAAACCACAGCCAGTCCAAACATCCTCCCTGCCGGGCCTGGTACCATGGCTCCTTCACCCCCTGAGGATGATGAAGAAGAAGGTGATTGGATGCTGTTTTTATTTTTATAACCAAGACACACCAAAAGGACTCTTTCTAGAAAATGTGCTTGAATCAAAGCAATAGAAAAATTGTATGTTTATTTTAACTTTTATTTATACAGGTTAGTCTCATTGAGCCCCGATGACTCTCTTTTTAACAAAGAATGATGACAACAGTAGACAACAATGACAGTAGTAGACAATCTTAAAAGAAGGCATATAAATTGGAAAAAAAAATAAAATAAATGGAAGAAAATTATGTAAAACAAACAAACAACAAGAACAGCTACATTATAAAGCGATATAAAATACTAGAAACAGGAACATGTCTGCGTTGGTTTTTGCCATGAACTTAGTAGTATTTTGAAGCCACTTAGAGGTCAAGGTTGAGAACTTCAGATCATTTTGCAAGATATTCCAGGAAACGGGAGCGGAGTAGTAGAAGGCCCTTTTGCGTTGTTCACTTCTGAGGGACACTGTATGTAATAATGTCCTGAGAGTGCACGCTGTAGCTGCACCCACGTAGTGACATGTAGGAGGAAATGTATGAAGGCAACAGACCAAGAAGTGATTTAAAGATGAAAATGTACCAGTGGGAGAGTCTGCGTGAAGTTAATGATGTCCAGTTAACCAGTGAATACAGGGTGCAGTGGTGGGTACGGTAGTTACAGCCAGTTATGAATCTTAGCGCACTGTGATAGACAGCATCCAACATCTGCAGGGTTCTTGCAGGAGCATTCATGGTAAATAATGTCACTGTAGTCTGTGAAGGGAAGGAAAGTGTCAGTTGCAAGTCGTTTCCTAGCATCCAGAGTTAGACGGGATCTATTTATGAAAAAGAAACCCAGTTTAAGTTTCAATTTCTTTACCAAGTTTCCGGTGTGGAGCTTAAAAGAGAGATGCGAATCGACCAAGATACCCAAGTATTTGTAAAAATCGACAAACTCAGTAGGGGCACCATTTGAAGATTAAAATTGAGAGAATGACTGCTGGGACTGACTTCCTGTTTGAAAACAACATCCCTTTAGTTTTGTTTGTGTTTAGTACAAGTTTGAGTCTAAACAAATCTGACTGGATGATGTCGAAAGCGGATTGCAAAAGCTGGAAAACCATAGCAACTGTTTTAGCTCGACTATAAACAACTGTCATCAGCATAGAAATGTAAGGATGCACAAGGAATGAACTGACCTAGATTACCTATGTATATTGTGAAGAGGGTGGGACCTAAGACTGAGCCTTGTGGTACACCATTGTTAACAGTTAGATAACTGAAAGATGTACCATAACCTAACATAGATCAAACTCCTGATATTGTTAATTAAAACTAAAGCCACTGAGTAAGGCTTCATCAGACTAATTTTAGAAAAAGTATGTACAATCTCTGATTTGTTTCTCTATAGAAATGTGTCACAGTTAACTAACCTAAAAAAAAATACAGAAAATTGTTGAGGCAGCGCAACATAAATCATGGGTAATCATGGGTTATTATGCAATTTAATGCTGGAAACTATCCATCACCGAAAAATTGTGCTCCTCAACAGTATGACATTAAAAAGGTTAACAACGTAGAGTCCAGCCTTATTGTGCTGCACACAGATATTTCTGGTATTAAATTTATAGTACGTAAACTCATCTTGTTGAGCAGCACCACATATTCAGTCCACAGGAGTCGAGATCACTCTGTTACAGAACTGCTTGTACTGTATTGTTCCACAGGACAAAACCATTAGGGGTGTGTTTAGTTAGTGATTTGTAAGAGGTGGAGTATAAAAAGCAACGAGCATCAGTTACTGTTAGTTTTTTTTTTTTTTTTGGTAATGGCCTGTTATTTATTTATTTTTTGCATGGTGTCTTTTTGATACAGCTCAGCTGCATTGTTGTATTTTGTGTTCTGCAATTGTTAAAAACAGTTGATAATGATTAGACAATATTTATTGACCTAACTAATACCATGTGACTCGTAATTTAGTTGTTTGAAGGCGTAAAGCTCAGCTGTGGAAAAGTTGGGAGGTTTAAGAAAGAAGCAATTTACCTTCTTTTTTTTTCCTCAATCAAACCTGATGTCACTGATTTTTGTTTTGGTTTTTGGTTTTCATTGCTTTGCGTCCAGACAATGACGAGCCGTTACTGAGCGGGTCGGGTGACGTATCAAAGGAGTGTGCAGAGAAGATCCTGGAAACCTGGGGAGACTTGTTGTCCAAATGGTATGAATTAGTTTCCTTGTTAACGTCCACTCCTGTTGTCGTAGCAGCATATGCACAAAGCTTCACTGCAGTCTGTGTGAAGGAGAGCAGAAGCAGTCATTGTTGATGGCTTTCTGTTTTTAATCAAAAGCTTGTGATCAACTAAATAAAATGCTTTCTTTATTCACACTAAGTTTAATTAAAGGGAGAAGAGATACTCTCAAGCTTGTTTCTCTTCATACAGTAAATATTTAAAAATATATTTATCTGAATTAACTTTTTTTTCACACAAGTAGATTTGTGTTTTCATGCCTATTGAGAATACTGAACAGTCATCAGTGTGCTTAACGATTCATACATGTTTGTCTTTGGAACAGAAAAGCCTAACCTAAAAAGGACTAAGCTGTTTTAATACATGGCTTGTGTGTGTGTGTATTTTTATATTCTGCGTCTGTGTGTTTTGTGGCATTCTGGGACCTTGGCGACACAAATCACAGAAAGACCTTTACAGTTTTTATGCTTCAGGGCCCAAGCTTTACAATAATTGCATCCCCCACGCACATATTCCTTAAGCTCACCAGAAAAATGCCACAAATAGCACAGCATAGCATTGGGAACAAATAACGCAAACTCTGTAAACAGTGTGGACATTTAAGAGTGGGGAAAACAGGGTCACTGTGCAATTTTAAGGCTTTTAGGTGTATTAATGGTGTGTTTGGTTTTAGTTTCTGTAAATTATAGTTTCAGTTTATGCATCTGCGTACAGTAATGTTTATTTCTACCAGAACGTTGTTTTCGCTGTCATCTATAAGCTGTACAGTTTTAGGTTTTGTTTTCCATGGCATTGACTCTCAGCTGTTTTGACTCACCAATGAACCCTTCTAGCAGATACAAGCTCCCTCTCTTTCCTTGCCCTTGGTCAGATCTTCACCTAGGTAACCCCCCTTGGTTTACCTCAGTTCTTTTTGTAAGATGATACTTGAGTCTTGTTTTTGTCGTCATTGAACCTGGGTTTTGTTTTCCTTCAATAAATTATGTTTTTCTGGAGTTACATCTGCCTGGTACCTGCTGCTCTGCACTCTCGGGTCCTCAACCAGCCTCCAACAACATTGTTACATCATTTGTATGCTTAAGTGGGGCAGTTGAAGGAACATTTGTACACCTCTCAAACGTACCGTAATATCTTATTAGTGTGCTGGGACACTAATATTAAAACGTTGCATTGTTTATCATTTATATAGTTTCCTATTGGCTGTGCTTTTTATATTGTGTTACCATCCTACTACAAAAACCATGACGGTAAAATACAAGTTATTGTGCCTTGTGTTCTTGACTGCATCACCTTGAGGAGAAAAATTAAAGTTTGTACATGTATATTTATATGAGTTTATCCTCAGTTGTATTATCTTTGTCACACAAACCATCAGTAACAGAAACAACATACCATCAGAAACATTGCTTTTATAAAGGAAGATGCTGGAATGACACTAATAGATCAAAATGAGTATGAATGTTTAGCCATTATGATGCATTAGTTGCTCCCATCTTTCTCAGGCACATGAACCTATCGGTGCGTCCAAAACCACTGCCAGCTCTGGTCCGGAGCGGCATCCCTGAGGCACTCCGGGGGGAGGTGTGGCAGCTCCTGGCAGGCTGTCACAACAACGACCACCTGGTAGAAGAATACCGAACTCTGATTACAAAGGTAAGACCTCACTGAGGCTGTCTTAATAACCAGAACACACATAGCTAACCATCAAGCTTTTTACATTTTTTTTATTGAAGATACAAATAAAAACACATGTAAATGGTTCGAGCTAAAATGAATTGGAAAAATGAGTTTTGATCATGTAATTGAAAACACTAGTACGTCTAAATTAGCCCAATTTTCTTGGGATTGGCAGTAATAAAAAACGTCAGCCACATTTTCAGCTCATTGGCACATCTCGTACCCCAGTAAGCTGCACAGCGGTGACGTTACGATCAGCACCACCTCCGTGTCATATTTCTGATAGAAGGAATCCAAATGTCTGCCATTGTAAGGCTTTGTCTTCATTTCATCTGGTGTATCTGCTTAAAGGTATTCTAAACGTGCACATCTTGCATATTACATCAGTAATCTTACTTTTCAACTCACAACTGAGCAAAGTAAAAATACATTTATACAACTTATTTTAACACAGGAGATGAATAGTTTCTGAACGACTTACATAATTGAACTTGTTATATAGATTAACTGATGAGTGCTTAAGCTAAAAATGTCTGAATTAAACTCTTAACCTTCTGAATGTTAGTCAAGCTTCTTTAATTACTGAGATTAGCTTTAGTAATTTAATCATTTTTGTTTTACAGATAATTTCATTCCACTCTTAGTTTCTTGTTTGGATGTATCTTTGAAGGTATATTTACTTTAGTTCATTTTGGCAACAGTTCAGTAATTTAGTTTTTTTTCGGTTTGCTTGTTTTTCTTTATTTTTTTTTGAGTCCACCTCAGGGGACAAAAATGTTTCAAAGGGTTTGTCTTAAGTTACACGTGCTTTTAAACTTGTGATGGTCACCAGTGAGCCCAGTAGATTGTGGTTTTTTTTTTTTCTTCTTCTTTGAAAAAACAAACATTACTTTTTTGTTCCACTGTAAAATTTACAAAGTTTTTTTTATTTTTATTTTTTATAATTTAGTTGTTTAAACTCCTGTCTGGTACATTGGGGGAAAAAAAAAACATGTCTGCAATAAAAGATGTTTATTTACTTCAACTCTTACTGCAAAAAAGACATATTTCAAAAAAGTATTTTTCATTCATTTCCATTATTTAGTCACGTTGAGACACCATTGTCTCATTTGCAGGAGAGAGCTGTTACAAGCTTATCACCAGTTTCAAGTAAAAGCTATACTGACGTAAAAGTAACAACAATGGGAAAAAAAAACAGCAAGTGCTTATGGATAGGATCTTCCAATTATTTTGTTAAAAGTTTAAATATCTTGACGAGACAGGACAGCATCTGATCCTGCTGGAGGGGTCAGAGTATGACAACGCCTTCTGACCCAGCTCACTACGCACACGTGACACGCTGAAGGTGATTAAAGCCTGAAGGCTGTGATGGTGCTGTTTACAAGTAACGTAACCAGACACTATGATAGAACCAGGCATAGAATACATTGGTAAAGAAATATGTACCATTGTAAAACTACAGATGTGTAACAATGGCCATTTAGATGTTTACTGCCGGTGATGGATCTCAAAGCTCCATGGTGGACGGCATTCAGCAGGCACAAAGAGCTGGCAGAAACCTTCATATAAACAATATCACCACAGTCTTTGAGAGCCAAGAAGGTGGCAGAAACCAGCCGTTTGCTGGCACAACATATGATACAAGACTTATGGCAAAAGAAGAATCCCAACTTTAACTTGTTTCCTCATCAGATTGTCAATGTGGAAATTAAAGATAGTCTTCATCAGTTGTTATTCTGAGGTATTTATATGATGGAACAGGCAATTTTTAATCCCACTGTGGTCACAATAGTAGGGAGGGCAGATGGCACATTTTATCGTGGATTATAACATATTTTTTATTTTATTGGCATTTAACATCAACCTGAGTTGTGAAAGCTGGGACTGAAAACAATCAAAAGCAGAATACAAGCACTAAAAGACGAGAGCAGTTTGTGTCCTTACTTCAACAACCAAGGATTGGGTTTGGAAAACTGACACAAGTTTGATTTTTACTTAAAAATTTGAAACATTTTGTGTTATTGACATCTAGCTGTTTCAGTTTAGGAGAAACTGTCAGATGTGACCTAACCCTGGTGAACATAGTTATTCCTTGGTGCACTCAGTTTTAGTTTATGTCATTGTTTTAGGCTTCGGCTCTTTTTTTGCTGTTATCTAAAGGCCACGTCGCCTGCAGCTAGCTGAGTCCCAAGTGGTAAAAAGATGTTGATTCTGATTTCTTTCAAAATCTCTTTTACCCTCTTTTTCCCACATTTCTTCTCTCATCTTATCATTTTTCTGTCTCTTCTTTTTTGTGTGTGTTAGCATCAGCTGTATGAAAACACAATTTTAGCAGTGAATCACAAGGCAGCGTATGTTGATAGCCTTTGGGCAAAAAGTTGGATAGGAAGTAATTGCAGAAGCACCAAAGCATTTTGTATTCGTGTATCAGACTTCTTCAAGTCAAGGTTTGACTTCTTGGCTGACCTTTTATTTGTCTCTATTCATTCTGTAAATAGTCATTGGCGCAGTTGCAAACAACTCTGCTGATGAAAATCTTAGTATTTTTTTAAATCCTCTTTTGTGGGTATCATAAACAAAATTATGAAATTAGGTTAATATAACAAAAATGGTTAAATCATGTCATCTGGACCTCTTTGAGTGAAGAAACGTTTCGTCCCCCATCCAGAGGACTTCGTCAGTCTGCGGTCTGTCAACCAGATCTGTCCCATAGGTAGCCTTTATTGCTGTGTTTCAAGCCAACCTCCTGTTGGACTCACAGAAGCCACCTAGGGCACCACAGCAATCAAGTGTTTGAGGCTAGGTGGCACCTAGCCTCAAACACTTGATTGCTATTGATGAAGGCTGATGGTTTCAGATGGGTGTGCTCTGTTTGCATGTGTTAAAAGTCTGCTTCTGAGATTCCAACAGGAGGTTGGCTTGAAACACAGCAATGAAGGTTACCTATGGGACCGATCTGGTTGACAGGCCGCAGACTGACAAAGTCCTTTGGATGGGGGATGAAACGTTTCTTCACTTAAAGAGGTCTAGATGACATGATTTAACCATTTTTGTTGTTATCTATCTGGATGATTGAGCTTACAAAACATTTTTTAGGTTAATATAAAATTTTACTGGCCTGATTATGAACAATAAATTAAAAAATTCTTTGTTTCCCCCCCACTCTAATATGTCTTGACTCTTCTTTACTTTACTTGATCTGTTTTCATTGTTTTCTTCACGTGATACTTGGCTCCTCTTGTAGCACCACCTTAGCTGTGGGACCAAGTGAGTTGGGCCAAAACTTACAAATGGTCCAAACAATAGTCCTGCAGACTGATTGATTGGTCAACAACAAGCCTTTAAAAATTATACCAACAAAGTCTGTGCAGTCGAGCACTTCATTCTTTGTTCTTGTATTCAAAACATTTGTAAAACTGTCCATGCTATTCATACATTAGTAGATGTCTGCAAAATTGTGGTCATAGATTTACATATGGTTTGTTGCACCCACACCCCACCTCACTGACCCTATACCACACTTGTAATAATTTATTATTGGTAACATTTATTCCCTGTGAAACCCTAATATGATCCTCAATTTCTGAGTACCCATTTGATTTTGAATCCTGGTTAAGTAGCAGTCCACTTGTAAACTCATCAGTAATCTCATCGGGCTTCTATATCTGTGGGCCATGTTTGAGATTACCACCATGAGTTTTCATGAATAGCATCAAGTCACTAATGGCTACTAACTCTGGGGATATAAATAAATAAATAATATATGAGGTTAGTACAGGGAATAAAT